ATTTAAACAACAACTGCAAGAAACATCACAAAGCTTGGCACAAAGGCTTAAAAATAATGCTACAAGTTTGTTATCAGGATTATTACCATCAAAAAGACCCGATAATATTGATATCAGCACTCCTACAAGTATTGGTGAACAAACAGCACTAACAGAGGGAGGTTTTACATCACAAGCAGAAGACAATGACATAATAAGCGCGGAATATAGAGAAGCAATAAATGATTTACCACAAAATCAGAAAACTGTTTTATTTACAAATTCTTTTGATTTCCAGAATATATTGACTAATAATAGCGTAACACCTGAAGACTTAATATTTCAATTATATTTTAGAGACAAATATACTGATGACATCAAAAACCAAATGGAAAAGCAACCTAATGACATAAATAAAAAATTATTCTTATTAAAAATAATCCAAGGTTTAATTGATGAAAATGAATGGAGTGTTGATTTTGATGCTAGAAGTAGAAAACAAAAAATAATAAGATGGATTGAATATAAAAAATCCAATCTTACTGGTAGAAATCAACCTTCAAGTTCTTCATCAGGTATAGGTCAAGCTATAGCATCAGGAGCACAAGAGGGAGCGAAAGCAGTAGCGAAAGCATTAGCTGTGAAAGGTGGTGAAGTGTTAATTAAAAAAGCATTTGGAACATAAACTTTCTAATATAATAATATGAGGAAACATTTAAATCTTACAAAAGAAAAACTACCTAAGAAGATGAGACGAAAAACAGACGATGATGAATTATTTTTAATTGGAACATATAATAATTTGAATACACAAGGTTATGATGATGATGCAACTGCTAATAAAAAGATACAAGCTGATTTTCCAGAAATTGAAGGTGTTGAATGGCTATATGATAGTCAGGTAAAAGACTATAAAAATTTACTTAAAAATAAAAGAGATAAAATGACACAGACATTTAGATATATGTTAAGACAAAATGAAAATATTAAAACACCAGATGAAGAAGTTAAACAGATACAAACAGATGACAGTGAGGACACTATAAAAAGTAATGAGAAAGAACAAGAAGGAGACCGAGAAAAAACTCAAAATAAATCAGTAATGAGGAGAGCTTATGATGCTATGTTTGGAGAAGACGAATTTAAAGAAGAAAGAGAAGAAATGAGAAATAGAAGACAACAGTTTGATAATGATGATGTAGAGCGTGAAGAAACTGTAGAAAAAAAACAGAGTGAACAAAGCGATAATAGTTTACCTATGAATGTTAAGAAGTCTTATGAGCCTTCTGCATCATCCTCATCAAGTTCTAGAAGAAGTTCAAACAGAAGTGTTTTAATGCCACTTGAAGAAGAAGCATTAAGTGATTATATTAATTCTTCGCCTGTTGAAACAGTGCAAAGTTCCATTCCTAGTGATAGAACTATTGAATATGTAGATGACGCAACACCGCCTATTAGTGTTGTTAGTTCACGCAGAAGTCAAGAAACAATAGAATACATTAGAAGCAGAAGTTCCAGAGGAAGCACTAGGTCAATAAGAAATTAATTTTCTTTTAATGGTTTAAAAACTTTACTTAAAGAAATATATGTATTAGTATATAAATATAAGAATGCCTGAAACAATTGAAGATATAAAACCGGTTCAAACGGAGGAGGAACAAATGAAAGTTAAAATACTTAAAGACCTTATAAAATCCTTACGGAAGCAAGTAGATGAAAAAAAACCTTATAATTACAAACTTCCAAAAGACCCAGAATATTTTAGAAAATATCAAGCAAAATTATACAAAGAAAAATTATGTGAAAAGGTTGCCTGTGAATTATGCGGGAGATTACAAACATTGAAACACATGAAACATCATCAAGGGCTACCAGTTTGTTTAAAAAATAGGAAAATTCCTGATTTAAATGTCTAAAGCGATGTGTTAAAAATGTATTAAAGAAATAATATAATATATAAATATATATATTATATTATGACATTTGACCTGACAGATTTAACCCTTCAAATTCCAAAATCAAAATCAATTCTTAATATTATACATATTAAAGAAAATATTAATTTAAATAGTTTACGAATTATTAATCAATCAGATATATTAAATGTATCAGATGATTATAATGAGAAAGCACTTATACAAAAATATTCAAACATTCAAAAGTTTCAAAAAGGTATTATAACTTAGGAAAGTAAATTTATAGATAATAAAAATAACCATTATGGAAGGGCATATCCAGAAAAAATAGGTTTAGTATCATTAAGAAGAAAATTAAAAAATACATTAATAAGAAATAATGATAAATTTAATTATATTGATTTAGATATTAAAAATTGTATTCCTACTATTTGTTTAAACATTGCTAGAAAATTTAAAAAGGAAATATATGAGTTTATAGATAAACATGTAACAATATTTAATAATGAACTACAAACGATGGGATATGATGAAGAAGATGAAGAAGATAGGAAAGAATTAACGTTTAAATTAAAATATTTAACAGGAGCACAAAAAACAAAGTTCAAAACATTAGAAAAATATATTGATAACAGAGATGAAATATTAACAAACTTTTCTAAAGAGTTAGGATGTAGTAAGGATGATATAAAAAACCTTTTTAATACATTAACAAATGGAGGGTCATACAAAGCATTTAAACTTAAAAATAACATTATTACTACTGATAAACAAACAGATAACTTTATTAAAAGTTTTCAATGCGAATTATTAACATTAAGCGATGTTATTAGTAACAATAACCATGATTTTCATAATAATCTAATTACAAAATCAAGCGAAGATGAAAAGGATATAAAAAATATCAACACATCAACTACATCAATGTATTATTATACGGTTGAAAGAATTTTATTAGAACATTCCATAGAATTTTTAATAGATAAGAATATTATTACAGTTGATATTTTAGGTAAGGATAAATATGATTATGAAAATAATATTTACGATTTTATTTATGAATATGATGGTATCAAAGTTCCTAATAATATAAATGATAACGAAATTACAAGTATTTTAGATGAGTTAAATAATCATATCTTTAATACTACTGGTTTTAATATTGAATTTTGTAATAAAGCTATTGTAGAAATGATAGGCGATAAAGAGTTACAAAAGATTAAAAATAGTAAACTAATAACTTATGAAGAAGTAAAAGACGAGTTTGAAGTAAATAATTTTAAGTTACGTTCACCTTATTGCTTTGTTGAACTTAATAAACGAACAGACGATACAGTTATTAGAAGTAAAGAAGATTTTTTAAATGTTTATGAAAATATGTTTTTCCAAAAACAAGAAACAGATAAAAAGACTGGTGAAACAGAAATTAAGAAAATTAATTTTGTTAAAGAATGGTTAAAGGATGAAAATATAAAAACTTACGAAAAATTTAATTTTCTTCCAGCAACAGAAACACCAACATATATATTCAATATGTTTAAAGGATATAAAGCAGAAAAGCTAAGTATTATTAAAACAGATATTGAAAACAGTAATATATGGTTTCATATTAAAAATAATATTTGTTGTAATGATGAAATCAGATTTACTTATTTAATGAACTGGATTGCTAATATTATACAGCATCCATTAAAGAAAACAGAAACGGCATTAATTATTAAGGGGTGTCAAGGATGTGGTAAAGATGCTTTTACTGACTTTTTAGAAAATATCATCGGTGAGGATTACGTAAATAAAAGTCAAAATAATGATAATTTCTTTGGTAATTTTAATGATGGATGCAAAAATAAATTAATATGTATTGTTGATGAAACTTCGGGAAAGGATACATTTAGTAAAGATGAAAATATCAAAAGTGCTATTACACGAAAGAAAGTTACGATTAATGGTAAATATGAAAAGAAATTAGAAGGTATTAACGATGCTACACATTATATTTTTTTAACAAATAATGATAATCCAGTAAAAATATCTTACGGCGATAGAAGATTTGTATTATATGAAGCAGGAGAAGAATACACGAGAAATAAAGATTTCTTTTCAAAATTATATGATGAATATAATAATAACATATACACCAAAGCATTCTATAATTATTTTAAAAATCTAGATATAAGTAATTTTAATTTTGATAAAGAGAGACCAGTTAGTAAATCTTATGATGATATGTTAGAAACCAATATGCCAGTAATGGTATTATTTTTAGAAGATTATTTGAATGATATTCAATGGGATGAGAATGTAATTAATAAAACAATTGATAATATGTTTAAGAATTATAATAACTTTATTGTAAAAGATAAATATGAAAAATCAACATTAAGTAAGAAAATGTTTAGTATTAAAATGAAGAGTTATACAGGTATTGAAGATGGTAAAAGAAATGGTAGTATGAGAACAGTTGATATTGACAGAAATATACTAACAGATTACCTAAACAACAAATATAAATTAAACATAGAAAAACCAGACATACCAACAAATAAATAAACATATTTATAATATTTCACACATTATTATAAATATGTTTAAGAGTAATAATATCATAATATAACATAACAATTCTTATGCCAGAAGTCTAATAAAAACCGTATTTTGTCAGATATTTTTAGAGAAAAATGAATAAACATAATATTTCGTCATAAAACCATATGATTTTTGAAAAATTTTAGGGAAAAAATATTTTTCAAAAAATTAATTTTCAAAAATTTTATTATTTTTTAAAATATCAAAAATTTACGGTTTTACGACATAAATATTATACTTATTCATTTTTATGATAAAACATATGGATTTTATCCGGCGATATGTCAGATAATGTAATATTACAAAAATTATTACAAAAATTATTACAAAAATTATTACAAAAAATATTACATAAATTATTACAAAAAATTATTACATAAACGTATAATATAGCCCCCCCCCCTCCCCCCCGAACGTTTTTGTATCAGTTTCAACATATTGTTTTTTAAAAATATTTTATGTAATTTATTACATAAATTATTACATAAATTATTACATAAATTTGTAAATAAACTTGTGATGCGGGGCACGGCCCGAACGCTTTTGTAAAATGTTTTATGTAATCTATTACATAAATTATTAAATAAATTATTAAATAAACTTGTGATGCGGGGCACGGCCCGAACGCTTTTGTAGAATAACTTATTTAAATTATTAAATAAATTATTAAATAAACTTGTGATGCGGGGCACGGCCCGAACGCTTTTGTAGAATAACTTATTTAAATTATTAAATAAATTATTAAATAAACTTGTGATGCGGGGCACGGCCCGAACGCTTTTGTAGAATAACTTATTTAAATTATTAAATAAATTATTAAATAAACTTGTGATGCGGGGCACGGCCCGAACGCTTTTGTAGAATAACTTATTTAAATTATTAAATAAATTATTAAATAAATTTGTGATGCGGAGCAGGGCCCGAACGCTTTTGTAAAATTTATTAAATAAATTATTAAATAAATTATTAAATAAATTATTAAATAAATTTGTGATGCGGAGCACGCCCGAACGCTTTTGTAAAATATTTTATGTAATTTGTTAAATAAATTATTACAAAAATTATTACAAAAAATATTACATAAATATTACATAAATTATTACATAAACTTTCATGGCGGAGCAGGGCGAGAGAAAAAATGAAGAAGGCGACGAAAGAAAAATGAAGAAGGCGACGAACTCTTCTTACTGCTTTTTGGAGTATATAGGTTATCCTAAACCCTACACCCCTAAACCCTGCACCCCCAGTAGGCTTCAGAGTTTAGCGTTTAGGGTAGGGGTTAGGGGTTGGGTTTGAGTTTAGGGTTTTTGGTTTTGGGTTTAGTTCAGGTCTAGGGTTGAGTTTCAACTTTCCTCTCGGCAGGTTTCCATGTTGGCCCCATTTGGCTCATGTAAAACCAAGTACACATTCCTCAGGAAGCGGTGGACGAGGATTACAAGGACGTTGAATCGCCCACCGACATCGCTGGTGTCAAGGTGGCGCCCTAAACCCTACACCCTAAACCCTAAACACCACACCCTAAACCCTACACCTTAAACCCTATAACCCTAAACGATTGAGAGTGGCCTTTGCGCAGTGCTTGTGCGTGGATGTTTGGACCGTCTTTGAGCTGTCCGTACCAAGTACGAAGATGGTGGATCCCATTGGTATGAGGGGCCTCCTTTGTTTAGGGTTTAGGGGTTTACGGAAAGGAGCAGGAGGCAGAATGCTCAGAGGACGCGGTGAAGTGGTCGGTGCGCGCTTCAAGGGGGTCAGTCTGCTCGCGATCGCCAGAAAAACAGAAAGCCGGGACGAAACAACCAAACTTGCAGGCCTAAATAGCAACTCGTTTAAAGGGAACTCCAGAAAGTTGGAATATTGTTTCAGGGTAGGATACCCTGTCATTGACCATAAAGGGTTTAGGATAATCATATTCCAACCTTCGGGCTTTTACTTTATAAGATTTCGAATTCATGATTTAGGGCAGCCTGCCAACTGAAACTCGAAGGCCCATGTCAAGCTGTTGAAGAAGCTGGGCTTTCTGTTTTGTGTTTTCGAAGTCACAGGTCTGTTAATTATGCAGAAGTTTCTGTAAGGGATCTACTCTATGACTCTGCGAGGGCTCTATCATAGGGGTTTACGGGAGTTTCGGGTTATGTTCTGGGTTTTGCTATAGTCTGTAGGAATGTAGGACTCATGGATTTTTCAGTATATGCGGCTTTAGGAATGCCCAGTACTGGCGAGACTTGGGAGTATGAGACGTCACGGGCTATGGCCTCGTAGGCCCTCTGCACAACCACGTGGACACGATGAGGCAAAAACCTGGGTTCGTATGAATGTTGCAAATTCTGGGCCCGAGTCCTGCAATGCTTTCGCGAAGGACAAGTGAATTGGAAAGGAAAAGGCAGGCACTGAAGGCAGCCCCAGTAAGAAATTGAGCATCATGGAACCTTGTTGGCCGTGTGGTTTCCCTGGAAAACCGTGCTCTCTGAGGTGGATGTGGCGGGTGATCGCAGCTTCGTCCGGATCGGAAGCGACCTTCCTTTCTTCGGCGTCTCCCGTGCCCGAGAGCAGGAGCTTCTGTGGCATTGTGGATAATATAAGGGCCCAGACGATTACTATTTTGGGGCCTCCTTGCTATATAGCTATTGTAAAAGATACCCCAAAACCCTATTCTAATTATTAAGGCTCCTAAATTAGACAACTTCTGCGCAGCTAGACAAACGGATGCATGTAGAAAATGACAAGTGCGTGCACGCTACGTACTTGTACTGTATTTAACTGCGCAGATGCATGTACCTGCCTCCAGTCTTTCTGTTTTTAGTTGCAAGGCTTTGGGTTTCGGGGCATCCGGATTTCTGGCAGGTGTCCTCATGAGGTGCAAAAGCAGCAGTTAGGAGTATTTTGGGCTTGCTTCTTAGTAATATCCCGTGAAAGTCCCACAGAGCTTGCACTGTAAGGCACCGCCAAAGCCCTATCCCAACTGTGATACTTAAAGGATCATGGGACTTAGTAACTAGAGTTATTAGTAAGGTAACTATACATATAGCCCCAATTGAGGTACTTAAAACTTACAACCTTACATACTAAGTCCCATGATCATTTAACTAGGCCCCATTCGACCGGCTTGACAAACCGTTATCTACCGGTTTTACATGCCTTTCGGCACCCTATAGGGTTTAGGGTTTAGGGTTTAGGGTTGCTTTCTTGAACTTTTCCGGAACAAGATCTAGGGCAGCGTCAGGTGGGGAGTTTGGGGGTGGGCAGTTCCGTTGGGACTTATGTGATTTCAGCGTGTGCTTGGTGAAGCTTATGTGATATCAGGATGCTTCAGTTGAGGTTCGCGCCTCGCATTAAAGGCAAGTACAGCGCATGCCAAGATATGCTTGACATTGAAAGGGGGAGGGAGGCGCTTAGGAGATCCCCAATCCCCAGCCTTGTGTGAGCATCCTGTCAGCATCTCTGCGTCTTATGCGGGGCTGGCTTATGAGGGAACTTATGTGAGCACCGTGTGGGAGCCCGGCATGAGCTCCAGGGCTTATGTGAGGCTTATGTGAGCCCTTATGTGAGCCCTTATGTGAGCAATATGTGGGGTCAGGGTTCGGAGAGCTGGGGGAGAGGGGTTTATGTGTACAGCCAGGGCCGAGCCGGCCCTTTCATGTGTTTTGGCTTGTTTGTGGGGACGGGCAGTGTGGGGGCGCGGGCGGGGGTGGTGGGGGGAGGGGGGGAGTTGGTGGGTGGGGTGGGAGGGGTGCCCGTCCAAGAGAAGTGCATTCCTGTCGCAAGAACGGAAACCAACGCCTTCACATAGCCTGGCATTGGCTTCAACCTTCATTCTTATGCGAGGTTCATATAAACCCCTTATGTGGAAAGCTTACAAGTGGCTTATACAAGCCTTGTATAACTACACGCATAAACAGCACCCCAACTACCCACCTGCAAACTACCCGCGTGGAGCTTCCCCTGACAAGATGCCGGTACAAGAGATCACCTGAGAGTCCTCATACCCACGCACTCGTTCCTGTGCGAGATATTACACGCTGCTTCTTACTGAGGCCTGCATACTCGGTAGCATGGATCCATCGTGTTTTAGGGTCCCTACCCTGAGACTGCAAGCAGGCATACAATCTAGCGCTTGATTTCTGCAGTCTCTAAGTAGCACCTGGAGGCTCCAAAGTAGTCCCTTTTTGGGGTTACTATATAGAATCCTATAAGGTAATCCCAACAAGTAGCTACTTTGGGGCCTCTGGGTAATTTCACGTATGCACGATTCGGAGTGGTAAGGATACTCGAGAAGCCTGGACTGACGCAGTGCAGAAAAGACTGCACATGCTAAGCCATACCTAAACTCCGAACCCAAAAACCTCAGATCCTAGACCCGGAAACTCTGAGCCTTAAACTTACCTTGGGAGTTGATCCTTATTCATGGATTACTGGAGCCCTAGGGTAATAAAGCCAACATGAGCACCCCGACCTTCCAAACTCCCTAAGTTAAGGAATATACCGTGTATACATATATACATATATATATATATATACATATAAATCGTATTAGGGACCCTACTATAACTTAAGGTATATTCCTTACTTCGGGGATTCTGAAAGGTCCGGGAACCTTAAGCCTCAAACCCGAAACAACCCCAAAACCCAACATCCTAAACCCTAGCATGAACAGTTCCCTTTGATCTTGCAGGCGGCATCCCGGGCAGCACACAGTGCGGGCTTGGCGCCAGAAGTGAGGCCGGGCTGTCAACCGGTTTAGGGTTTTAGCGTTGGGGTTTAAGAGTTTGGGGTTTAGGTTGGGGTTTAAGAGTTTAGGGTTTAGGTTGGGGTTTAGGGATTTAGGTTTTAGGGGTTTATGGTTTGGGGGCCTCAGTTTTGTTGCACAGTGTTTCGGGACCGGGCCACAGTGTCATTTTTCTGCCTTGTAGGATTTCAGGTTTGTAGGGTGGGCGGCTGTGGGTCGAAGGTGGTGGAAGACCCGGAGAAGAACAAAAAACAGGGTAGGACAAGAACCAAACGTGTGTAATTATGTCTCGATGCGGCTCGCCAAAGCGATGAAGACGTCTTTTAGGACCCAGAGTAGGCCCTTATTCCCTTTTTAAGGGTTTAGGTTCCCTTATAACCCCCTTTATCCCAAAAAGGGCACCCTTTTTATTCCTAGGTTACTCTTGGGTCTAGTCTTAAGAGAGAGCAATGAACCAAGAGCGGCACTATGCGCACAAACAGTTTGCAAAACAGAAGGCTGAGCCGAGCTGACCTACTTGCCAGAAATTTTTTGAGGAAATCATAGAAAGGAGACCTAAAAGGAAGTGTTTAGAGCTACGGCCTCTTTTAGGGGTGAGGGCTCAAGTCCACGCTGGGGTTTTGTTGGATCGTCCGACTCGGGTGACTCGGGTGTTGGGTCTGAGGCGAAGAGGCACCTTCAGCTACTACACTCAGGACCTTAGGAAGGTAAGCCGAAGGGGGTAATCAGGGGGTCTTAAAACCGTTAAGACTATTGTTCCTTATGATATCGAGGCATAGGGGCAAGATCAGTCTTCGATTGCTCTTCTTTGACCCAGCCTTTCGCTGACTACAGTTTGTTGCTTGCAGGGTCCTTTTTATGATGCTTGCAGCATTGTGTACCTCCAAACTTTCTTCCGACTGAGCCCCTCGCATGATCTCGGCTCTCTTGACACCCTGTTCAGCCATTCTGGAATCGGTTTAACCAGTCTTAACTACGCAGTCTGAGCCTGAGTACCCCGAAAACCTTGTTTGCACTTTGAATACAAAGGCCGTATATCATGATCAGCCAAACATGTAGGCCGCAAAACAGAGAGTTTGGGGTCCCGTGAGATTTTGGTAAACCATGTTTGACAAAATCGCGTGAACCACTTCGCCCACTGAAGGCCTACTATCGAGGCCCACATAATTGCCAATGCAATTGTTCTTGGGGGGGGGTCCTTGTTGTAATTATAGTATAATGGGCCCACAAACCCTATTCTAATTTTCAAGGCCCCTATTTTATAGCCTAATTAAGCCCAAAGCCATGAACCCTGAAGGTGGACCTCGCCAGATGCCATGGTTGCTGCTTGCTGAGCATTCAGATATACAGTTCTTCTGGCTCTTAGTCGGGACGTGTCGGAAATCAAAGCATTTTCGCGCAAAGCTTAGCATAGCATACGGAACCCAAAACCCCAAAACCCTAAACCCCAAACCCTAAACCCTAACCCCTAAACCCTAAACCCTAAACCCCAAACCCCAAACCCTACGTACAGGGCTCAGTTTCAGGGCTGCCAAAATTTCGTTCACGGGGGGGGAGGGGTGGGAGTCGATGTGGGTTTCTTGTTTGGCTTATTCATGCTTCCCAGAGGGTCCATTAGGGTTAGGGTTTAGGGTTAAGGGTTTAGGGGTTTAGGGTTTAGGGTTCCATGTACCCAAATAGTAGATACATTGACCCCAATGTACCCATATAGGGACTACTCTAAGGCCAATGTATATACTATTGAGGTACATGGACCCTTAGGGCTTGGTAAGAAGCAGGTTCAGGCTATTGATCTTGTTCTTTCCAGTTGCCCGATGCTTACTTGGAGGATCGTGGGTCTTAGTAAGGTTACAGGTAAACTACTTGGGGTTATAAGTAGCTTTCAGCAATTTAGTATAGTTACCGTAAGTATAACCCCAGTTACTAAGTCCCATGATCCTCTAAGTAGATTCGAAGCGAGATGTTTCGTTTCCCCTGGCCCAGAAGCCTGAAGCCCCAAGCCATACACCCTAAACCGTGAACCCCAAATTTTGAACCGTAAGCCCCAGACTCCTAGACCGGACCGTAAACACCTTAAACCCTAACCTGAAAGCCTGCACCCTTCACCAAAACATCTGCAGGATCGAAGATGGAAATCCCAGTGTACAACTGTGAAGAAGCTAGAAGCTTCCAGAAGTAACATAGACAGCTGCAGAGCTACTACATAACAATTATGTCATTCCTGTGGGCCCCTCATTACGAGCCTAGTCAAATATGCCTATAAACCTGAAAACTCAAGTCTGGTAAGTAACGCTTCATCATATACATGTAGGTACCTGATTAAGAATTCCTCGGATATAGTAGGATTCATATAAGGAACCCTAATAAAGGCCCAAGGTTTCTTAATCAGGTTCCTGCATGACCTCTGCATCCAGATGGAGCCGGCTTAGTTGTTTCCAAAAGCATTCTGGCATCAGCGCGAAGCCCTTGCTTAAAGGATCAAGGGGCTTAGTAACTAGGGTTATAAGCAAGGCAACTATACTTATAACCTCAATTCAGGTACTTATAACCTTACTTACTAGTCCCATGATCCTCCAAGTACGGCTTCAGCAACTTGTCAACCAGCCCAAGACCTGTAGTAGCCTTTAGTTCTAGATGCATCTCTAGATGTAAGCTCCGGAACCTGCAAAAATCCTAACCTAGAGCCTAAATCTTAAACCCATATCCTAAACCCCCCTAAGCCTTAAACCTTAAACCCAAATACCCTGAACTGTAAACCTTAAGCCCAAATCCCAGAGAGAGCCGCGAGTTCGCAACAAAAGTCCAGGTCGACTTCGTCGATGGCCGGGCGCTGACGGAGGAACCCGACCACGGTTGAGGGTTGTAGGCTATAGGGTTTGGGGTTAGGGTTTAGGGTTTCGGGTCTAGGGTTTTAGGCTATAGGGTTTGGGGTTCAGGGTTAATTAGGCTATAGGGTTTGGGGTTTAGGGTTAGACTACAGGGTTTCGGGTTTAGGGTTAGGCTATAGGGTTTGGGGTTTAGGGTTAGGCTATAGGGTTTGGGGTTCAGGGTTAGGCTACAGGGTTTGGGGTTTAGGGTTTGGGCTTTAGGCTTCAGGGTCTAGGGACACGGCAAACTTCAGCCCTAAGCCCCAACCCTTGGTGTTTTCCTGGTGAATATTAGACTCAACTTTGTTATAACATAAACTCAAAGGGGCGCAGTACCCTCAGTCCGCGAACTTCAAGATCGCACATATACTGTGCGGAACAGGCCTGAATAAGACGTCATCAGTTCCTGGACATTCTTGCCATCTTGCCATCTCGCTTTGGCCCCGACATTCCGACGGGAACCAACTCCCAATACCCTCTTCTAATTTCTCTAGACCCTAAACCTTAAACCTAAACCCTAAACCGTAATCGTTCAGGCCCCCTTCGGTCTGAACCCTGAATTCCTTGCCTGGGCCCGAGCTCCACTACCTGGGGTTTTGGATCCCAAATTAACGCGCATAATGGTGTTTTGGTACCGATTTTGCCGTCGTAGACCCCCAAATAGTGCCATGCGTTCTGAAAAGTATTGACGGGATTCGGGACCACGGCCTTTACGGGTACGGTGTCGCTTTAGTGCTTAGGGTTGGGTTCTACAATAAGACAGGGTGCTATAAGAATCTAGGGATTAGGTACAGGTCTTCGGGGTTGCTGTATTAGCGCAGCCCCGACTGCACCCTACAGGTGATAAGCCCCACAACCTAAACCCTAGACCTTCAAGCACAGTCTCGGTCAATAAAGCCATGCTAAACACTACCTGAGCGCTGAACCCTCAACTCTAAGACCCAGAATCAAAAACTGCAAGAGCTTCTTGCTGAAATCACAGGGCGTTTTACTCCCCAATGTTGTCTAAACCCTAAACCCTAAACCCTAAACCCTAAACCCAAGAGCTACAGCTTCGTTGCACCCAGCGGCTCCAAGGGAATTTAGCTCTAAGGCGTTTGGGCCCAATGGCCATATTACTGTTTACAGGGATTTCGGCCTCTAGAGTTGCCAATACTCTTCCTTAAGCTTCCTTATTAATATTGATAGAAGAACTTACCCCAAAACTTGAATTTAACTTGCTAGGGCCTGTATTTCACACCATGCGCTCGATCACCGAAGGATGATCTCCACGAAGCCGGCCGTAGCGGCCCAGACAGCAAGGTTGGACCCTCATGGTATGGTCTCATGGTTTTGGCTTTAAATCGGGTTTCGGTTTATCGGTTGAGGGTTCGGAATGTAGGGTTTACAGTGTTTAGGGCGCAAGAATCTCGACCCCGACAATCTCGATGTTTCTTGTGTTCTGCTCTCTTACTTCTTCGGTTTTTGGGTGTTGAACACTGATTCTGGTTGGGTTAGGGTCTGGGCTTGGGGTGTAGAATACTGCTCTGGGGCTTTGGGGTGGAAGCTGAAGAGTGAACGGGTCAGGATGAGAAGGAGTGCTTCGGGGGTGAAAGGGGTGGAGATATTTGTTTGGAGCTTTGCCCGAAAGTCCCGTGCGGGGTCAGGGCCCCAGGACCGCCCAACAGCCCTTGATTATGCTGCGTAGTAGGCCTTATATAAGCCCTGAACCCTAAATCCTTAACCCAGACCTTAGGAGCATCCTTAGTGTGATTTAAGGTCTATCCTTCAACTACGGGCTTGTGGCTGCCCCTGGTTGGTGTAGGGCTAATAGGGATGTCTGTCGCTCTCTTCACCCTAAAGAGCTGTCTTCTTTAGGCCTGATGCAGCCCCTCTGCTTTGAGTCCGCAATATGGGGGTTTCCGAAAATAGCGGACCCTAATATATATATATATATATATATATATATATATATATACACATATATATATATATAGACATATACAGTATCCCAAATAGTAGGATCCTCATTATAAAGACCCGAAACAAGGTACCCCCTATGTTCGGAAACTCCCATATCTTATGGCTGCCGGACTGAACCCAAAGCCCTATCGTACCCCACACGATTGAGGATCCCTACAAGGCGAAGGCTCCCTTACAGCAACCAGAAAAATCTAGGGTTCCATGCAAAAGCCACTCGAACGAGTTCTTTCGTATATTTGAGGCAAGTTTCGGCTTCTGGGATCCCTAAACCGCTAAACCACCAAACCCCTACACCCCTAAACCCCGTGAATTTCAGGTCCTGGTAGCCTTGGCGAAAGCCCTTCGGACGCTTCATGCATCCCCAGTGCCATCTGAGCTGGAGGTGCTCGGGTTCCATTTTTGAGGGTAGCGGGGCTTCCGCCGTTTTGTTTTGGAGATACTTACGGTGCTATAGGGTCGTATATATGTATAGTTCAATTAGGACGCTTTTGTCGTGAGGTCTTTTCTTCATATAGGGCATTCTTTCGGTGTGTTCTGGCATGTGATGCTGTCAAGTAGAAGGGCTGCATAATATTAATAGAAGGACTGCGTAGTGTTAGTATAGTCGCTTGCTGATAGGCGTGGTTTTTAGGGGTTGTTTTCGGTAGTTTCTAAGGTTTTGAATTACGCAGGGGGGGTCATTGGGGTATTGAGGGCTTCCCTTGAAATACCGAAACCGATTTTTTGGTAGCGCTGCTATAAGTTCGATGTTAGGGTTTACCGTAAGCACCTACGACGAAGTAGGCTATGGTAGCTTAAGACTGAAGGTTCGATGTTAAGAATTATAGGGCTTTAAAGCTTGTGTTTCGACGGTCGTGCAGCAAAACGGGTGAATTTGGAGATTGGTTAAGGGATGCAGGCCTTTGATAGGGTCCGTCTGTATGCAGCTGAGTTCAGGGCTTAGATGTTTTGTTTGTTTAGGGCTTTTGGAGTTTGGGGCTTCTATGCGTTCGGGGTCATGAGGACCTAGAAACTTAGGGATATTGTGTCGGGGTTGCATGGCGTTCCACTCCCATTAGGATTCTAAATCGAGCTGGCATTGTTATGCCATGCAGCAAAAGCTAAAATGGGACTCAGGGGTAAGCAGCAGCTCTTCTTCACCCGCAGAGTTTGTGTGGGCGCCTCTTAACTATTCGAAAAGTCACAGTGGGCATGCATACATGCATGCATACATACATACATGCATGCTCCACATGTATAAAGAATGCAGTCTCTCAAGTCACAAGAAATGAAACTTCAAAGGACTTCTCGTCCTAAACCTTGAAGGACTTATAGTTGGAGCCTTCGGGCCAGAAAACCGTACTTTTCAAGGCAACAACCACTGTCATCCAACGTGGCCACGTGAGGCGTTTCTCAAGGAGGTCGGCGACGTCGGATGGGGCGGACCCCACTTAGCAAAGTGGCTGTCCTACGCCGAGGATCTTCCGATTGAAAGGGGCGGGGTCTCATCTGCTGCCCACAGCAATCGCCCCTAAGTCTAGCAGCCTAGAGATGCAATCGGAGCTGCGATTCTGAGTTTCCTGTGCTAAGAACACTGAGACTTACACAAGATTTCGAACAAATGAAACACAATCGTTACTGGCACTCGGTGGAGGGCTCACCGGGCAGGAGCAGTTCCAGTCGTCTGCGAACTACTGATATCTTCTGACGCACATGGGATGCTCTTCTAGGCATCTTCTTGCCCTTCGCATTTTTTGCGGTTCGCCTTATTAGAGCCAATAAGTAACTAAGAAGGTAGCCTCATTATTCAGGGCCGCCGTGGAACCTCATGTAAATGAGCCCTGATTTTCCCCATAAGGAATCCCTAGATCCCTCTTCTGCCAGGGACCCAAAAAGCACATAAGCATAAGCATTTTATAGGGATATCCCTACCTTAATGGGCTTCATGATAAGGGGGTTTATATGGAACATCCCTATCCTAATTTTTGCTTATGTGCTTTTGGGGGGGCCCTATTTTGATCCTTTAAAGGAGCCCTAGCCTAATTTGGGAACCCTAAGCAATTGCTTTACTGCCTCGGCGAGGGAGGTTTCTTGCGTCTCTTCCTTGTCTCGGGGATTCTCCCCAAGAAAGGGTCCAAGTGCTTTAGGGTTTAAGGTTTACGGTTTAGGGTTTAGGCCGAATGCCTATATCATATAAGTGCCTATATTACCATAGGGCTCAAAATGGCCCAACAGCCTTATATAGTATGGTCTTTGGGCCCAGAAGCCTTAAAATATGAGTCCTCCGAGCCGTAGGGTTATATAGGCATATACTCTCCGAACTGCTAACCTACATATTTTCCGTCCGAAACCCAAAAAACCAATTATTGGGTCTGTTGGACCCTTGGAGCATAATTAGCTACTATCGAAACCCAAGTACCCAATTGCCGGGTCCTTGGACTCGATTGTTCGGGATATATGGCCAAGGTAATGCAGGAACCTGATTAAGAAACCCTGGCCTTTATTAAGGTTCCTTATATGAGCCCTGCTATTTTGGGGGGGGGGGGGTTATAGGCCCCAGGGTTTCTTTATCAGGTTCCTACATTATGGGCTGCGTCCAGGCCGGGAGATCGAGCTCCTGGGGACGATGTAAATTAAGGGTTCGGGGTTTAGGGCTTAGGGGTTCAGGGTTTAGGGCTTCAGGGTTTGGGGTAAATCAAGCCATACACCGTACATCGTAGCAAGAATCCTTCCGTACTGTTGATGATGTAAACCCTGCATTACCCTTTATCAGGAATATACCATAATTCCCATAGTGTAATGTCCTTTAGGGAATGCAGGGTATATATCAGCAACAGTAGTTGAAGGAATGGACTGCATTCATGTTTAAAGGGGTAATGATTGTGCTGCTAATGGAAGTATCAGGGAATGAGTCAGTATGCCATGGACAGGGTCATGGTCTTAGTGCCTCAATAATAAGTGACGTGTAAGACTTAACCCAACATACTTCCCACCAAGTCCCCTGAGTCTGCAAGTAGATCACCGCATGCGAAATCATCCTAAAACTCCTGGCTATAAAACCCCATAAAATCTTGATGGAACCCTTACATATGAAACCCTCTACCCTAAACCGTTACTACCTACTGTTGATGATATACATCCTGCATTCCCCATAATAAGGAAGATACCATAAGTCCCACAGTCTAGGGCCATCAGGGTAATGCAGGATTTATATAGAACCCTAAACCCTATGTAAACCCTAGATATCCCTTAAAGGAGCCCTTAAAGGTAATGCAGGATTTGCATCATCAATGCGGGGCGACCTCAGGAGAAAGGCTACAACCGCCTTCCACTTCTTCCCGGACTTCGGGACCTAATCGCTGAGCTGGAAGCGATAGCAGGCGGGTTTTATTTGGCTTTAGGGCTTCGGGTTTAGGGGTTTAAGGGTTAGGGGTCAGGGCTTTTTGTGTGTTTCTTGAAACCCTACTATTTGGGTACTTGGAGCCTTAGGGTAAGAGTAGGGGTTGCTTGTGTGCTTTTTTGGGGCCCTATAGTAAGTCTTTACAGTTTGGTCTTTTTTGAAAGACTCCAAGACCACGACATCAAGCGATCCACACCAAGAATGCGGAGGATACCGGGATCTTGATCTTTTCTGTTTACGCGGGTCCTGTATGATAGCTCTAGGATGCCAAAGTCTTGTCCCTTTTCGGTTTAAGGGCGTCCTTGACGATAGTTTGTTGATGGTTCTATTGTACAGTTTTATGCGATTGTTCGAAGGTGTTTTGTGGTTACAGGCCCCTAACATCAAGTTTGAACATGCCTTAAACTGGAGGGCACATTGAAAAATGTTGGTTTTTGCCTTTGTTGGGGATCAATTAATTACCCTAGGGCTCCATATAGCCCAAACTAGGCCCCCAAGTAGGTACCATGTGTGTTTTTGGAGCCGGGTTATTGAGTTTATTTCAAACTGCCATTAAACCCTAAACCCTAACCGTTTAGGGCTATCGGGCCGGCGGATCAGGCCGGGGTTTGGTTCCCGAGGGCTTTTGTGATCAGGACGTATGACAGGTGAAGAATCGTGGTGAAGGCCAAGTTCATCCGTAACACCTTTCAGATATGTTTGCAAACATAAGTTGCGTGGGGGTCTTCATACAGTAGAAGCCAAAAAGTTGGAAACCCCATAGCCTCAATCCTTAAGAGTAATGTATAAGGAATCCCAGCACTATTTGGCATTAATCCGGTTTCCAACTTTATTTGGTTTACTGTACTCAGAAAAGTTTGGGGGTTAGCTTGAATTGGCATCGTCCACCACCCTGAACCCTACACTTAAATCCCACATCAAACCCTAAACCCAAACCGCCCAAGCCTCAAGCGCTAAACCCGAAACCTAGATCCTATATACACATCATACATAAACCTTAAGGCTCCATGTGATCATGTATAGTCCCTCCCAGGTATATACTATTTTGCTACATGGAGTTTTTGGGAAAAGCACGAATCAGACTACGCCAGGTCCACTGGGGCCGAACACCTTCTGTCACTTCGACCTCCTCGCTGACTCTTGCGGTCATTGTTAGGGGTCCTTTCGGGGTTGCTTCAAGTGATCTATAAGGGATGCTAATAAGGGTTTTGTTGAGGGTGCCACAACTACGACGAGCTGATGATCTTCGAGGCTGAGTCTGAAGAGGAGGAGTAGAGGGTGCAGGTAGGGGAGGGAGGAGTGGTTTGTTGGAACTGCGGCAGTGGGTTCGCAGGGACTGCCCCTGATGTAATACAGTATCATACCCTGTGACGTGCCGAAGAGCCAGGCGCTGGGAGGCAAACATGCTGTTTTCACACATCTGACAGCGTAGCTGCACAACAAGCAGATCCGAGATGCTCCACGCATTTATGGGCATATCACTAGTTATTGCCTTATCCATGTAGGTGTGGCAGTCAATCAACATCTTCAAGCTTGTACCTGCAAGTTAGTTGCTCTGTTCTGCACTATCTTTTCCAGTAGATACCGCTTGCATGAATCCTTCAACACTCTGGTTCGCTTTGTAAAACAGCTCCTAGTTTGCGAAACCTTCAGACATGTACACTTGCATGCTTCGAGACGACTTTTTTATGGAGCTGGTATGGAACACCAGCTTCCGGAGTGAAACCGGAAACCCTGCATGCGGAACGCTAACCGCTAAAGTAGCGAAACCCAATACCCAAAATCCTAAACGCCCAACCCTACCTATATCGTCTTCATTGTAGTTCATCGTTTTTTAGGTAGGATTTTATAAGGTAACCCAAACATGTGACTGCAATGTTGACGATAGGTAGACCGAAACTGCAGCCAAGGACAACTTGGTGTTGAAGCCGCTTGCTTCGATCACGGGGTTGGAGGCCATTTAACCCTGAGGGTCCATGTACCCATATAGCATATACATGGGCCCCAAAGTACCTATATAGGGACTACATTATGGCCAATGTATATACTATATGAGTACATGGACCCTTGGGGTAAGGGGTTTTGCACATAGCACCGGTGGAGGAGCCCAGTTAATGAATAGGTGAAAGGGGTCGGAACAGGTCGTCATACTGTCTCTTTATAACCATCTAAACGTAAGTGACAGTATGATAGCCTTTCCAAAACGGCACACTCCAATAGTTCAGGCCCTTGTCATAGCATGGACAGCTGATGGGGCAGTGCCACCTGCAACTCGAGCCGACGCCACTCACCCGATGTCGCAAGTCTTTCCGACATCTAGTTCCCTGGATTCCCGAACCCTTTTGGGTGTCTGTGGACCTACGCGCAAGACAGTTTTCTGGAAGCCTGTTTGCTTATACCCATAGTGGGTTTCAACGTTCAGCCTTACTTCTAAACCGTTGAGAACCCACACTACTGTTCATCTTACTGGGCTCCTGTGTTTCATTGCAGAGAAACCGAGCCAAGGCAACGAAGGCAACACCGCCAACCACCAGTCCCCACGAACCCACTCGCAAGAGTTTCTCCAACAGAAGCGTCTGAACAAGTACTCCAGGAAATCTCTTACAGTCTAAGTATACGATTCGGAAACCATATTCTTCTAGGACCTAGAGTAGGCCCTTATTCCCTTGTTTAGGGTTCAGGTTCCCTTATAAGCCCCTTTAAACCAAAAAGGGCACCCTTTTTATTCCTAGGTTACTCTTAGGCCCAGTCTTCTCATTCAGGAAGCAATATCACTTCGCTAAGCCTGGAAAGTCTCCTCAGCATCACACACCCAGAGACTTCAATATCCTTTGATTCAGGAATACTCCTTTTAAAACATATCAATTAGGGATCCTACTATGATTTAATATGTTCCTTAATTAATGCATATTGGAGTCTTAGGGCACACTCAGGAAGGACGGTAGCATCCTGCTCGTTGACTTTGAGTATTCTGCTCCCGGGCAGCCCTTCATGGTCCGCCTGGCTTCTTTACGGATTGCCTGAAGGATCATGGGATTGAGAAAGAAGGGTTTCCCTAAACCCTAAACCCTATTAGGGTGTACGGATTGCCTGAAGGATCAGGTCAAAGGCCTCCAAGGGTGGGATGAAGGTAGATGGGGTATTCCCAAAATACGAGTCCTTCTGTTCTAAGGAATCCTGAATCCTACCTACCTTCATTGGCCACCAATCAGAGGATTGAGAAAGAAGGATTTCAGTAGAGTTTTAAGTGCAGTAGCCCCAAGTTGGTATTCGTAACTTTGCATACGACCAGTTTTCCAAGTCTCCTCGGCTGCTTTGATATGAAAACGTCCCGGACAAGATGTTATGTAGAGCTTCGCAAGTTGTTTTCGAGTTGCAGCGTTGGCTGGTCGGGTATCACGTTTCAGGTTTATGGCTTGAGAAGCCTTAAACTATCTTGAGCCAAACCCTAACCTGAACCCATGAATTAATTCAACGGTTCAGCAAAAACAGGCTTCGGCCCTTTTACCCTTTACAGATATTTTAGCAGGTGGCCCGCCCTGAACACTGGCTGGAGAGCTTCGGGTTTTTCGACAAGTGCTTATACAGTAAACCCCATAAAGTTGGAAACCGGATTCAGGCCAAATAGTGCTGGGATTCCCTATACATTACTCTTAAGGACTGAGGCTACTGGGTTTCCAACTTTATGGGGTTTACTGTAGTGTGTTAAGGCAGAAGAAGTAGGAGAGGAAGCATTGTTTCTTTAGCAAGGTCGCGCAGTGATGCGGATACATTGAACAGTGCTCATTAACGTGCTCCATAATTGGTTGTGCCAACAAGCGAAAAGTATCAGACCAAGCTCCTGGAGTGACGTCCTGCAAAAGGCCGGCAAATACATCCTTGCCTATGAGAACCACTTCGTCGCGGCACGGAACCTCGACAATGAGCCGCAGATCAATATGGGTAATCGAACACATGGTTCGAATCTATTTTGACAAAGCTTTTCCAAATCAAAGTGGCTGTATTCGGCGCCACCCAGTCAGCGGCCGACTCTGCATTGACAGAGCAAGCCTCGACCACGTTTTTGAGGTGGGAGTTTCCGAAAGTAGGGGACCCTAATATAGTACCCTAAATAGTAGGATCCTTATTATAAGAACCCCAAAATACGGTACCCCTAGTTTTCGGAACTCCCAGGTGGCTGATGTCCAGAGTGCAGACTTCCTGCCACTATACGCTGCAGCCCAGCTCCACAGAACACACCTCCATGCACTCACCTTGAACCCTCCAGCCCCAAACCTTACCTGCACACGAAAGGTTCGCCGACAACAGCAACAACCCAAACCCTAAACTATCGGTAGCCTGTACCCCAAAACCCTAAGTTTATTTTTCCTCAGTGGGAGGGCCCTTAAACCCAGAACCCAGCCCTAAACCCTAACCCCCAATCGTAATGCGCTGCAGGCCGACGCCCCAGGCCCAGCAGCTGGAAACCGACATATCAACCTTTGAAACGACTTGCGAAAAGCTGAGTTTAGGGTTTTGTATTTCGGGTTTAGGCTATTGGTGCTCATGAATCTTATGAGCTTCAGAACATAAGGGATACCCACATGGATCCTGAATAGTTGGTACAAGGATGGCTTAAGTCGAAGCCCTACTTCTCAGGAGGTCCCCATGTGATCAAGGCTCCATTCTCCTCTACAGAAAACTTTTCTAAGTCCCGAAGCTGTGATGATCTCTGCAGCCAGAGCCGGACCATAAACCCTAAACCCGAAGCCAAAAGCCCCCAACCCTTCCAATCACACCCATTGTCTGGTTCTTGGTAGGGAATGGGAGAATGGATTGTGGAGACTACTATTGGGATTATATAGGGACTACTAGCGGGATCCATTCCCGCGTTCCCTACTAAGCACCAGACAGCCCAAACTGCAATTTTTCACAAAACGAAGACCATGGTGTTTTCTTTGTGTCTTTGTGAAACATGAGGCCAACTACAAGACCCCTACACAATGAACCCTAAATCGACTATAAGGCTACCTGTATCTGTCCCGAAGAGGCACAAATTATGCTGCTGACACCCAGAGTGCTTTGCCAGGACTTAGCGGTTTTGGCCATGGGATGCAGCTTGACGGCAGACGAGGAGCACTGTTATCGTTGTCATTATTATCATTACTCTTCTATCACTAGCGGTTTAGGGTGTAGTGGTTTAGGGTTCAGGGCATTTAATGTTGCTGTTAGTGCTCATGTAAATTATTTCTATTGTTATCGCTATCGTTATCATCGTCATCGCCATTATCATTGCTACTAGTACTGTTGCGAGCTGGTCCATTGTGTGAGGTTTACGGTTAAGGGCTCAAAGAGTTTGGAGTTGGCCTTTTTGGTTTTGCGGTGGTGTTCTCTAAATTAGGGTTCTTGTTTGAGGTGTTCCGTACTGTTTGGAGGGCCCTAGTCTGGACAGATCTGCATACGAGATAGATATGAGATCACTTCCAGAAATCCTGAGTTGGAACTAGGGTGCATCTTGACGCGACGATTTCCCACATTTATTCCCGAATTGGAAATACCCTACTTCGGGGTTTCTGAAAAAGGAACGTATTGAGACGGTCTATATCCCCAAGGGTCCCCCAATCCTAACTCCGATACCCCAAACCCTACCCTAGCATACCCTGGCAGTCCTAGCCCCTAAACCCTATAACTACACATAACATACATAACTGTAGCTATATTTAGGGCTGCAGCTCAGGGTCTAGTCCAGTTTCTCCTCCTAACGCGACTCCTGCTAAAAAACCAAAACAGAAAATATTTCAACTCGCAAACATGCTCTTCAGCCCTAAACCCTAAACCCAAAGCTAGTGTAAGCCGACTTTGGCGGGACAATTTCGCGGAAAGGGTCCACTGCGCAACAAAATGCCCAAAGCTAGTTCATCCTAAACCTTAAACCCGAAACCCCAAGCCCCTTTTAAACAAACACACAGCAAGAGAGCAAAACCCAACAAAAGCTCAAGACCGTCCTAGACCTCTCCCCAAGGCTCAAGTACGCAATAATCATATACTCTCCATAATCCTAAGCACAACCTAACTACTATCCTAGAGACCCTCGGGGTATATACCTGCCCCAAACTCTATCTAGTTACTAAGGTTACTAGGGTCCTCCCTAAACCCTACACCCAAGTACCTAACCCTAAACCCTAAACCTAAGCCCACATACCTAAACCCTACACCCAAGTACCTAACCCTAAACCTTAAACCTAAGCCCACGTACCTAAACCCTAAACCCAAGTACCTTAACAATAAACCCTAAACCCAATTATTGAGTCCTTTGGACCCTTAGACCTCTCAGTCCGCAGGAGAGCAGCCTCCTCTCCGCCTACCTCGGGAAGGAGCTCACCGAGTCTGACCACTATCGCTTCAAGGTGGGCTTTTTGGGTTCTGTTTGAATGAAGGTGTAGGGTTTTGTATTCAGGGTGTCGGTTTTTTGGTATGAGGGTTTTAGGGCTCGAGGGCTGGAGGTTTAGGGGTTCAGGTTTAGGTTGTAGAGTTTAGGTCTCGGTCAAGATGATTGCAGGTCAAGATCTGGCTAGACTTGAGTCCAGCGGCACAAAAAATGGCTTAGGGCGCAGATTTTTGTTTTTTTTCTCGGGTATCAAAGTTCTAAAATCTTAGGGTTTTGGGATTGAGGTTTAGGGTTTGGGTGTCGGAGCCCGTTGTTTGTTTGAGGGTCTTATAAGGGGTTTGGGGTTTAGGGGATTTTGGGGGGGTATTGGTTTGTTTTACCCTACACCCTGAGACCCCAAAGCCTAAACCAATATCCATTAGAAGCTGCCCCCACCCTGTAATGGTGACTATAAGGATTATGTTAGGGCCCTATTATATTCCTATTATACCACTATTACAGGGTGGGGGCCCCGTCTTATTTTAGAAATGCTTGTTGACAGCTGCTCAGGCCGTCCGAGTGCTTGCGGCACTGCGGGAAACCTTCTGGGGCATCACGGCTTGCAACGAACTGGGCTTCTTTTTAGCTTCCATTCAGGGCTTTCAGGGTTCATTGAGGAGTTTTTGTTTAGGACTCAGTTAGGATTTGTTTTAAGGGTTTTGGGGTGTTCATTTAGGTTTTTTGATGGTGCTACAGGGTGTAACAGGGCGCAGGTGCGAAGGCAAGGGGCTTGCAGAAGATTTCTCCACAAGCCCAAGCCACCCCCACGAGGAAGCTTTACCCCTGAGACTCCCCACCCCTTGAACCCTCAATCTTACATCCTGCTGCCCTCCCGCCTAAACCCTTAACTCTGACTGTCCCCTTAAGCAGAATGATATGATCTTGGACCTTAAGCCCTGAAGACAAGAAAAACTGCAACCAGAAAAAACTCCATACAGACCCTATGAAGCTTTGAAAGCCCCCATATGAAGCCTTCTTTCAATAGCAATCCCAACACCCTGGACTGGACCCATGCCGTGACCTTAAGCCTCAAGCGCCGAACCCTAAAACCGACACTTAACCTAAACCCCGAAATTCCTAAACCCCAAGGCCGAAACACTAAACCTAAACCCGAACCCCCGGCGAACACATTCCTACGCCATGGACCCCCAAAGCCCTAAGCCCCAAAACCGAAACCTTAGACCCTAAACCCCCAAATTTTTGTACGCCATATAGACTAAACAGAACCCTGAGCCCCTAAATCCCCGAACTCCTAAGCCTTAGCCACAAAAACAAGCCGAGGCGTCACAGCGGAGCTCAGCCAAAGCTCTGCTTTGACCCCCGAAGAAGCCATCGCCTATGCCGACATGCCCCTCGGTCTTCAGAGTTTGAGAAAGGGTTTAGGATTTAGGGTTTAGGGTTTAGGGAGGGGTTATAGCATGTTACAGGGCTACTGTAGGGTTCTGAAGGGTCTTATAGGCTTACTGGATGGGGTTTATGAGTTTATTTGTTAACTATTCATGTGTTCTTGGTAGTCTAACAGGAAGAGTTATGCTTGAAAACAAGGAGGTGCCTTGAACATTGTCCGTTTTCCGTTTTGTCGGTAGCCCTGACCATAGCGTGTTGTGTTGGATGTTGAACTTCCACCTCAAACCGTTGTTAAGATCTCCATGAAAGCCCGTTTGGTAGGAACGATACAATCATGTATAAGCCTAGGCGTTTGAACACCAACAAATGAACAGCTAACTCTTGAACGCCTACAGGCCTGAACCCCGAAACCCATCAGCGCGAGACGAATGCTAATTACGAAGGCCCTGATCATAAAGTACCCTTATAGATCCCTTATAGTAACCCTTATAGATCCCTTTACAAGGAACCCCTGTATCGGAGGAACTTTGGCAAGTTCACTTCCTTGCGCGAGGACGATCTTCTTGCCGAAAGCAGCGAATTCAGCTGATAATGAGCTTTTCCAAAAGCCGAAACCCTAAACTTTATATAAGCTCTACCTAAACCACCAAAAGCAGCTAAATTCATAGCCCAAACGAGAAAAGGCCATTATTCTACATATTTTTTGGGCTCAGGTAAACCTTATTAAATTCAAGTGAGCTTTCCTAGAGCGATTTCACAAGAGACCTGTTGCACGGTTTTCTCACAGGCTTCGCAGGGATTCATAGAGGTTAAGCAACCCGGAGAGCTTCAACCTTCCGCGCGAAATCTTCATCCCGATATCAGGGTAAGAATAAGTAGAGTACCCACAAAAACCATTATTAAGGTTTCTATATAATCCGTGCAGAATGGCCAAATCTCATTTCTTCGGGTTGGCTGTTCCTGCACTATATTCACCGGCGATATGACGTGCAGCATGGTGTTCGGACGGAGGGGCTGAGCTAAGCAAAGTGGCACCCAAACTTATTTGCAAGGTCTATCCCTCAAGAAAGCCAGGCATTGCTATCAAGTGGAGTGGACCCGAAGCCCACAGATCATCCACTAAAGAATCTGGGAACCCTGAACCCTACAGTCTATAGTCCTAGGCCCTGGAATAGCATCAACCATGAAGGAGCCTTGCAATCTGAACATCTCCCATAGTGCTGATGAGCAAGTCGTGCATTGTCCAAATACGCCGCAAAACTTTTCAACTCCCCTAATCCAAACTGCAAAGGCTCTGATAGAATCTTGAATGGCAGCCTACAACACCTATCATACGCTGAATCAAGTATCACGCGAATGGAAAGACCTTGAGTCTCAAACCCTACTATACATAAAACTAAACCCTTAAACCCCTGAACCCTCAACTCCCGATCCCTTAAACAACAAAGACAAGAGGAGTTCCGCTCTCTGGTGCCACCCTCCTAGCTTCGCCTGGTTCGGCGTCGGACCGGGTCCTAGTTAGGTTTAGTTTAGGAGTTTAGGATACCCTAAACCCTACACCATGAGTGTTGGGCGGTTTAGAGTTTAGGATCTGGGATTTTGGGGGTTTCAGGGTTGAGTTTTGGTTTGGGTTTAGGCTTACGTCGGGCTTTTGGGTTTCTGGCCAGTTGCGAGCGTTCAGCTTGGATTTCGGGGCTTTGTTTTCGGGTCTCGGGACATTGAGGCATGAATAATTGTTGGCACTGTTCTCTTTATTATCTCGATATTTCTGCTGTAGTTACTCAAACCCTAGCCGCCTGCTAATGATTAAGGCTCCTGTATTGGTGTTTGCATCAGCTTCAGATGGTTTCGGGCTGTTTGGGGACTCCGCACGTGTGAATACCTCGACTTCAAATGGTCCTAGCCTTGAACCGTAGCATCGTTGATTGTGCTGTTGCTGCGGTTTTGTTGTTGCTTCTGTTCTGGTGGTGGTGGCGGTGGTGTCTGTGGCGGTGGCCGTGGAGGTAGCGGCGGTGGTGGTGGTGGGCGTGGTGGTGTTGCTGATTGTGGTGATGGTGGGTTGGTGGCGGCGATGGTCGTGGCCACGAAGATGTCCATGCTGACGAAGACGATAAGACGGTGACGGTGATGAACGAGAATGCGATGCATCACGGTACAGAAAGCCTTCCATCCTTGATCCTTTCATTGCAGACTTGCTTATATATGCAGTGCGAAGGAAGGTTTCTATTGTAGGCAGATTTTCATGTCATTGGCTATCCCGCTAACAGATACCTAGTGTCCTTGAAGATTGTCATGCAACACCAGATCAGGTCCAGACCGCCGCTGCGGCGAACGCGGGCCGCGTCACGATGCAGATGTATCATCTCACCATGCAGCGCTCTGTCAAAGCAGTGCTGCTGCCAGGGAGCTGAGTTTGACTCAGGAATATGAATATGCCAATGATTGAAGTATGCCCCTTAATTAATTAGTGGGTTTGGGAGTCCTTAGAGGCCTAGACGAGCACGACTGGAGCAGTTGTGTCGACATGTGCACGGTGGTGCAAAAGCCCTCAGCATGCAGAATATACTCTCGACACCCCTAAACCCTAAACCCTAAACCCTAAAGCTCAACATATTCCTAGGCGCCCAGCAGACCGCGATCTTGCATTCACATGGTACCCCGAATCTGGGTCGTGCAAGTGACCAACCTATCGGATCGTTGTGGTTGGGGCTTAGTTCTAGGGCTTTCCTGGACCCCATAAAACCTACCTTGTTGGGGATCCTTCTTATGATTTCTTTGTATATAAGTCGTAGGTTATTTTGGGTTACGGTAGAGACCTGGTAATACTAGGCAGAAGTCGCTCGCTCTGCTCCAAGCGACTCGGTTCACGCTTTGAAGGAAATCGCTTCTCGAGGCAGAGGGCGGCAATTGAAAACTGACATCTGCAGTTTAGAATCAGGGTCTTGGCGTCTTGAACCTAAGCTGCCTGGTACATGTCTCAGACTGCTTTTTATTTTTCCATACCATAGCTCCTTGACCAGGACATTACGAGGCCTTAGTTTGTTTTTTCCACATATGTTCACTCTAGACTCTATTTTTTGAAGCAGGGCCGGTTTTTCAGTTTCAGGTACAACCCAAGAGGCCCATGGTACTGGCATCAGACTAGGCCTCGTCCCGTCGTGCATGATCCCTACTATGCCCCTTCGGGACCAAGATTGAATTTCGAGTGACATGAAGCTAGATGGTTTTGTATGGTTACAGCTATCCCAAACCCTGCACCCTATGCGATAATGCCCTGTAACCCTGCAAAACCTTTGAGTGCTGAATTTTAAACCGTTTCTGTGGCATAAGCCGTGTTGATCTCAATGGAGCCCAATGACACTATGAACCCTAAATCAGCCCTAGAATCCCAGAATCCAGAAAACCTGAAAATTAAAATTCTGCGGACCCTAAGCCTCACACCCAGAAGTTACGAAGGTTTTAGGTACGTTGAACGCATGCACACACACACACGGCAGACGGGTCGAAGCAGAGATCAGATCGATGCTTCATGTGTTAGCTTTGCAGTCACCTGCTGTCTTGAAAATCGCAGCAGCTGACACTCCTGCAAAAGGACTATACCCCGCTGCCGAAGCCATCACATTGGTCTGTAAGTCCTTAACAACCGGAAGACCTAGTTTTGGTAGGGTTGCTTACCATGAACCCCCAAGAGAAAGCCTGACGAGTAGGTCTTTGGGGTTTCAAGGTGTGGTCAAGTGTCCAAGCAGTCCTTGTTTATGGCTTTGGGTACCCAGAACGCAACGCAGTTCTAAAAGAAGGAGAAAGAAGGCGTACTTGGACACTTAGGGTAGGATTTAAACACAAAATCTTACCCTGTACCTTCGCCCCCCCCAGAGCCTATCTGCTTTAAGACTTACAGTGCCCTAAACAGGTAGGGTTTAGAGCGTCTTTTGCCATGGCCTCCGTGCAGACATGGGGCGCTCATCTGCCTGGTTCCGTGGGGCTTCGTGGCATGAAGCTTCAGAGCCCTAAACCTCCAAACTTATGGTTTACGAACACCTGAAGCCCTAAATCCTCAACCGCGACTGTAGGGTTTGGAGTAGCAGCATCCAATAGTTAGGTGCAAGGGGTTCAGGGTCTAGGGTTTGGGATCCAATGCAGTCTTGGGTCTAGGGTATGCACGATCAACTGAAGGTAGGTCTCGTTTCACAATGACCTTTCTAAGGATGATATGTGAGTGCCAAACGAGGGGCGTCGACTGTGAATGGGGTGTCCTTGAGGTGCCCTCAAGCCTTAAACTCTATCATTATTGAAGCAATGACCCAAAAAGGGCCCTCAGATCTCTAGGGTGCGGGTTTTCATGTTTTGGGTTTTAATTAGGGTTTGGGGTTCAGGATTGAGGCAGGGGGCCGGGTTGGGGTTTTGGGGCTTAGGGTTTAAGCATGTTTGGCTGCCGGCCGTAAGTCCTGAAATTTCCTACACCATCAAGCCCGAAGCAAACTCTGAAACCCTATCCAAAGGCGCAATGTACATAGTAGGCTCTCAGTATATATTTGGGCCACCGAAGCATATACTACTATACCTCATCTCAAGACCCTTTAAACCCCAAGCCGCCAACCTGCGATATAATTATTGACCCTAAACCCTAAACCCTAAACCGTCTTTCAGCCCTCCACAAGGGCTGGATCCTTTGGTCCGCGGCGGCAGCCGTTCTGTTGCTGGCTGCGCTTTATCAAGCTGTGCTTTCTGCAAAGGACCTGTTTGGGGTTTAGGGTTTAGAGTTTCGGGTTACTGAGTCCCATGATCCTTTAAGTGCCCCCCTCGGATCTGGGTCTCTCTCGTGCAAGACTGAGGGTGGCTATACCCTGAGCTCTGCATCTCTCAGTTGGATTTCAGACTCACAAGGTCCACGCCTTCAGTGCTTGCAATTAAGGTCTGAGGGTCCTTCGCGCGGAAGCCCAAAAAATCCCCAAACACCGAGTGTATACCATAGCATAGCAGGCATACGAGACAGATATGATGCGCAGTGCTGCAGACAACCGGTTTCGGTTTTTCGGCAAAGCTCTATAATGACAGACTTGCAGGAGATGGACCTACCAGAGAAGATGAGCCTAGAGTTGGCTGCCCGGCACCCTGGCTTCATTGGCATCCTTGCACAATCAGTTTTTATTTTCATACGGTAAATCCGAATCCTACTAGGTATGTAACTGTATATAGTTGTCAACATTTCAGACCTTAGTCCGGAACACGATTTAAGAATTGTAGTTGTAAATATCATTATTATCATCTCCATCATCGAGTAGTCGGGCCTTTGTCAAGCTCCACGGTTTCGGCATTGAATGCAGGATCTTTGGGGGACCTAAAACCAGTGTGGCGGTCTGTGGGGTTGTCTCTTCAAGTGCCCATGTGATTTTTGGTCGGCCCACGCCAACAAAAACCCGGCAGCTCTTCCTGAGTTTGGCTCAAGTGGCCCAAGATCCTCCCAGCTCCAGTCTTTGGCAGCATGGATAACGTTGGGCTCATGATGAAATCTCCTGCCTCCTGGCTACGAGACGAAGGCGTCGCGCCTTTGGGGCTCGCATTGGCGATTCTGCTCATGTGCATCTTCGTGTGCTCTGGACGCCGCTCCATGCAAGGGCTCCTACGAGTGCGGAGTGGCCTTTGTGATGGGCAAGTCGTGACCTATAATAGTCCTTGTTGGGATCTCGTACTTGCTCCATATTAATATATGGATCTGTTGGAGTGAAACTGGACTTTGTGCCAGTGGGAGGTGGCAGCTGCAGATGGTACGTCAGGTGCCAGGGCAGCTACATGTGGGTTAACGGTGGGGCCATTGAGACGTTGTTCGACCAAGGTGCAGTTGATCATCGCATGGAGTGTGAGTTCAAGCCTTTCAAAGCAACACAGTCTGGAGCTTGCGATCCCAACGTGTCGTCTGTCGGCTGCCTGCAGATGGGCGTCCCGTATCTCATTTCTTTATCTAAAGGGCAATATCTAACGGTCGATGGAAATTTCATCGTTGCGCGTGACATCAACCAGGCGGCATCCTTCCAAATCGAGGCAGAAATCGAGTTGAAGCAAGCGAGCCCAATGCGGAAAGCTCTGCTTGCTCTTAGTCGGTAGGCTCTCGTACTATGCCAACTGGTCAGGATCACCAGTGGAAGGCAGCATGGCTTACCGTTCTAGATTCAACCCTAGTCTTTGTTCTGCCAGAGCACTGGCGAGTATACTACTGTGTGTGTGTGAGATTACTTCTTTGGCGGAGAATCCAAAAATGGACTCAGAGATCTGCACGCCACACGGTGTGCAACATGCAGCTGAGCTGAGTCTTGTCGGCCAGTCAGTCAGTCAGTGATTGTGTCGGCTGATTGCTTGCACGGTTCTATTCTTCGTTCTGCCTCTTCTCCGAGCCCAGGGTGCGAGTTTACATAGAAGTCGCAGGCGCTCTCGCAGCCCGAATAACATCACAGCTTTGTAGATGCGCCCGGTTGATGGTCGGAAAGCTGAATGCCCGGTTCTTGATGATATCAGACACTTGTGTTTCCTAGTCTGAGCGGTGCAATAGAGTTTTGGGGACAGGACGAAGTTGGGGATGCAACGCATGGGGTTTTGTAGTTGTCGGTCGCTCGAGACCCTTTGCTCGAAGGCGGAAGTCGAGACGAGATGCCTGTCCTTTGCGGTTTCTTGTTGTCGATTCTTTTCATTACATGTGTCACATGAGGCCGGTATTATGGTAATGGTCTGTAGGAACTTTTGTGCAGATTAATTCGCGTTGACCCTCCGTACTACACAGTCAAGAATCCAACAACCTGAAACCGTTCGGCCCACTGCAGCAAGCATGCGTCCAGGTGTTTCTGCGTGATTTGTTGGAAGTACAGTAGAAGCCCAAAAGTTGGAAACCCCATAGCCTCAACCCTGAAGAGTAATGTAGAGGGAATCTCAGCACTGTTTGGCCTTAATCCGGTTTCCAACTTTATGGGGTTTACTCTACCTGTTACAGCATGAAAACATCAGGCAGTCTGGTTTCCATAAACTGCATTTCGGAATCGTGCACCACTGTTGCAACCTAAGCCTTGAATCTTCCACTTGTAACCAACATCTCAGTTACTGGCTCAACTTAGATGTCGGAACGAGAAATTGCCAGTTCTGTTCCTCAATTTAGCATAATAATCGCATAATATTCACCGAGCCATACCGAAACCCTGTTCCAATTCTGCAGACCCCCTAGGCTCTGAATAGAAGGGACTTCATCCTCACGGTTTCTGGATTTGGAGAAGCCGAAGCCCCAGTTTAGGGTGTTGTGATTCTGAGCTTGGGATTTACGGTCTAGGGTTTAGGGCTTAGTGTTTAGGATGGCTCTGGCTTTGCACCCCGAATCCCGCGTAAGCTTGAGACTTCTCGAGCCATCCAGCCGTGAACTCTGAAGAGGTCTTTAAGGTGACGGGCTTAGGCGGGTTTAGGTCTTTAAGGTGACGGGCTTAGGCGCATGGTTTGATGTTGACGATTTCCTTCGAGCCCCAAAGCCTCAATACTTGGCGATTTCCTAAAGCAACAAAACCGAGACAAGATCACTCGGCAGAGCCCGAGGCAAGAAGCGGCCGCGCCATCGTGTCTGGATCGCTGGATGCCACTTCCGTGGCAGATATGAAGAATTAGGGCACCCATTCATTCAGAGGTCTTTCTTAGGATCTACATTCAGCTTTGGCCCCTCGGTGCAAGGTCCACAGGTTCCTGTCACTGGTAGTTCGAGATGGTGTTTTCTGGGGAGGCTTTGGAGTTTGGGGGCTTTGGGGCATGGTAGCCTAGGCCGCGGCGCATTGGACAAGGGCTATGTGTCTGGGCATCCTTAAGGGCAGCTTGACTTACAGCATAGTGTGTTTGGCAAGTCAAGTCAAGTCAACAGCGTTCTCCAATCATGCAGATTTTTCATCTCTTAAGATGCATTCTTGATCATTCAGCAGAAACATGACTTTTAGGAAGTTTGGGTGTCTCAACCCTGTACAAGCTGTGTAAACCCCAAAGGCCGCAATCCCCTGTTCGGTGAAGCTTCGAGGTTCGCTAAGTTACTGGGAAGAGCCGTCGCTGGGCAGATGCAGGTGTCAGGCCCTCTTCTAAAGCGACAGAGATGTTTCAGGTTTGCCAGCTGCTCCCTGTCTACCGGCTGCGCCACACCGGATTTCCAGTTTGCAGTGACCTTCTCGGGCCCAACTTTTGCCCCCGGCCGCTGGGTGGAAGGCGGTTTTCAGAAGTTTCTTGCACGGCTTAAACGAATGGCTGGTTTGACAACACAACTTACATAGTGCTTCGGGGTCTCAGTGTACGACGAAGTTTTGCAGAATTGGAGATGAACCTGCCAAGTTTGGTTGAACCCTCCCTCGCACTGCCAAGCCTGCTCTCTTGCAGGGTCTGGAAAGACATGAAGCAAGGGATTCCGCAAGCATTGCTGACTTTGCTGTTTGACGGGTTCAGGGTTTGTGGCTTCAGGGTTCGGGTTTGGGGCGTAAGGTTTCAGGGTTCACGGTTTCGAGGGGGCGGGGTTGTAGTTAGCTGGAAAAAGAACCCAGCAAATGTACGAAGAACTGATTGCAGATAGGTACGCGTACGCAGTACATACACGACTAAGATAGTTCATACACTTCAAACTAATTATATTTGTCTCTTTGTGTATTTATTTATGTATGTATTTATTTTTAGTTCACTGTGCACATATTTCTTTGTGTGTTCTGACCTACAAAGCACCACACAGCACATGTATACATACATACTTACATACATACATACTCATACATACAGACGTGCATACATACATGCACACCTTCTGCACATGCTCATACTCCTCCACAGTTCCATGCAAACAGAAGCATGAATACACATGTGCAAGCATGCAAGCATACACATGCCAAAGAGATGGATGGCTAGATCGGTAAGCAGACTGGCGGAGAGAGGAAGAGACCCGGATATTAGCGCTATTGCGAGTTTGTCCATCTTACAGTCATAAAGGCTTTACACATGTATGGGTATACATTGTTTTTTCATTTGCATTTTTTTTGTGTCTCTCTCTCTCTCTCTCTCCTCTTTGTCAGTTTTCCTCCGCATGTGACACATAAGCACACTCAAAGAGAGACACATACATGTAGACGTAGAGACAGAGAGAGCGAGAGAGAGAGAGAGAGAGAGAGAGAGAGAGAGAGACAACAACGCAAAACATACACAGTACACAGTTTATTCATGTTTATTCTGTATCATACTCTTCATTCGGACACTCAGACCGAGGCCCCAGTTGGTCCAAGCTTTCGGACCTGCTGAAGCAGCCCCTTGTATGACTTGCTTGACTTCTGCCCGAAGGGCATCGTTTTAATCAGGGGTTTAGGGTCTAGGGTTGTGTGGCATCACAGTTTGGGGCTTTAAGTTTGGGGTTCAGGGTTTAGGGCCTAGGCCTTAGGCAGAGATGGGCATTTACCAACGAAGCGTTCGATGGACTCTACACACGAAACCACCGTAACAGTGATCCTGATGTAGAGTACAAAACCCAAGTCCACGCAACACCTAATGACTGCAACGGCTTGAAAACCGCCCAAGCTCTAAAACTTCCGATGCCCTATGCCCACAACGCTGCAAGATGGATGGGTGTAGGAGAATAGCAAGAAGATGTGCTGAAAGCGTTTTGGGTTTGCTAGGGAGGTGATAGTTGTGCATCGTGGTTGTTGTTTAGGAGCGAGCAATGACAACAGCTATGCTTCACATAGCTCTCAGAGCCAGCTCAGGCATATTCCGAAATCGCAGATTCTCTTTGAGGCCAGCTTCCCTCACATGACTTTCGCGTACAGTTGCTCCTCAATCGCAACAAGTGCACCAGTCCCGATACGGATGTCCTAACTCCATCAATGTGGAGGGACGGAAACCAAGCGAGCCTAGAACAAGAGGGATGAGAAGGGGTTCTACATGAAGGCACATCCGGGTGCCCAACAGGCGCGCAGACCACTACCTTGGATGCACTTCGAGTGCGAGTGTGCAGGCACACAAATACACGCACACATGCACGCTGGCGCCGTGGCTGTGTTTCCAAAATTTGGACGCTGGACGTAGGTTTCTGTGCGGAGACTAAGGATTGTCCGATGTGGTTTTTTGGCGGCAGTCCTCGGATTCGCGTTGTGCTAGAGTTCGGAATGCCCGGGTGAGCTTTGTCTTGGCGTGTCGCAGGGCCTAACTCCCTGGACTAAGGGCTTGCCTTCGAAACACACAGACGCGCGCACGCGCACACATCCATCCTACACTCCCAGGCTGCAGCCCTGGTGAAGTTGGCAAAGGACAGTTTCTGAAAGCCTTGCGCACCTTGGCCATGGTGAGAAGTGATGCTAATCCCAAAAGGGCCCAAAGTAGCCATATTGGAGACTGTGGGTTTCCTATAAGGTAAAAGCCAGAAAGTTGGAATATGGATTAATGGTAGGATCCCCTATAATTTACCATAAGGGGAATATGCTAATGATATTCCAACTTTCTGGCTTCTACTGTATTAGGAATTACTCTTATGGTTTGGGGAAGTATTCCCCATAACAGTACCGTGGACCCTTTGGGAATATTGCAGTCATCATCATTGATATGCATAACCATTAACAGTAGTACGTAGTAATAGTAGTAGCAGCAGCAGCAGTAGCAGTAAGAACAATCAGAACCTCTTTCTGCTGATGAGAACTGACCAAGTGCAAAGTAGTAAGGACTAGGCGTGATAAAGATAGGCATATAGCCACATTTTGCCAACAGCAATATCATCAGCAACACGCATATCTATTCATGCTTCTTGCATGTGATCCGTTGTTGACCTAAGTACAACAACAAAGCTTTGTTTGAATTGCTCAGTCTGAATGTATAGAAGCTCATGATCTCAAAACTTCCAGAGTTTCGCACCTTGAGGCTTTGTAATTTGTTTCGTCCACGCTAGCCCATGCCACCTTGTTGATGTGTGGTGAGTATTGTCGCAGCGGACTCTGGCTTTTTCGGAGTGGGCAGTTTGGCGTACCAGACTCCGGGTTATTCGCTGAGGCGGAGAGCAGTTTATGCTTACTGTGGCGACAGAGAAGATTTCTAATGCAAGTATGCGTGTTTTAAGATGAGGCTTAGATGGG